GACTTTGTGCACCTAAAGACTTTACAAAGTCGGCCGGCACCGCGGCTCACTAGGCTAATCCTCCGCCTAGCGGTGCTGGCACACCGGGTTCTAATCCCGGTCGGGGCGCCAGATTCTGTCCCGGCTGCCCCTCTTCCAGGCCAGCTCTCTGCTGTGGCCCGGGAGTGCAGTGGAGGATGGTCCAAGTGCTTGGGCCCTGCACCCCATGGGAGACCAGGATAAGTACCTGGCTCCTGCCATCGGATCAGCGCGGTGGGCTGGCTGCGGCGGCCATTGGAGGGTGAACCAACGGCAAAGGAAGACCTTTCTCTCTGTCTGTCTCTCTCACTGTCCACTCTGTCTGTCAAAAAAAAAAAAAAAAAAAGAAAAAAGACTTCAGAAAGTCAAGATTTGGAGCCAGATAACACTTTTTTTTAACCCTAACCACTTTTTTTTTTTTTAAATGTGGAGTCATACTGACCTAGGTTTGACTACTGACTGCACTGCTTACTAACTAAGTGACCCAGAGTTTAAATTTTCTCAGCCTTTGATTTTTAAGTCTGCTAACTGCACATAATGACAAGACTTAGCTCATGGAGTTGTTGAAAATTGAGCAAGCTAAAGTATGTGAAGAGGCAACATAGTCCCGGGCATATGGCATATAGCAAATCCTCAAATGATGGTGGCTGTTATCCTTTTTCCTCCTTCCTCCCTCTTGCCTGTAAGGGTTTCTGACTTGGTGGACAGTGATCCACTACCTTTTCTCTTTGGAATAATTTGGAGTACAGACAAGCCCCATTGCCGGAGCCAGCACGTACTTGGATGGTGTCTGGTCTCCAGCTCCATCTCGCCTTTTCATCAGGGCATCTTTTGTGCCATTTTTTTTTTTTTTACTGAGATTAACACATTACAATGAGATACCTTCTGCTCGTTATCTGTCCATTCCCCAATTAGTGGGCCCTTCCAACCTCCCTCTATCAAGGGAGCCCCTGTCTGTCCTTGACCTTGGCCTTCAGAGTTGTCTCCTTTGTGTCTGATTACTGTTGAGCTCTGTTTATTCTTCCTACAGCCGCAATTGCCTTCATCCCTAGGACTAACGCCTGCGTTAAGCAGGAAGCTGTCTGCTCCCTCCCCTTCTGCCTCCGAACTGAACTGCTCTCTGCCCTTGATTTGCTTGTTTTCTCCTTTGTGCCTTTGCTCACGGTGCTCAGGGGACACTGGGTGATCTTTAAGTTAGTGTTTTATTATTTACTGACTTATATTGCTCTCTAATTCTTTTAAATACCTGTGGCTTTTCTGTTCAACCAGGTTGTAAACTCCTTGAAGACAAAATACAGGTCATAAACTTCTGAGAATTACCATCATAGCACTAAACACAGTGCTCAATAAAAGCTTCTTAATGGATGCATAGATTGAACGTAACTCTGCTTGTTAAGAATTCGTTAATATCCACCTATTTCTTGCCAAGTCAGTGCTGAGGTCTGCAGACCAGCAAATAAGATGTGCTGTCAGCTGGCTCCATCTCACCTGTTCCTGACATGGGCCCTCCTTTCAGATAGATCTCTTTAATATGAACACACACACACACACACACACACACACATATCCAACTGGATATTAAACTGATGATCTTTTTGCCTCAATTTTGCCCGAGACCCCAAGATGTCATGTACTTACTATGCTACACTGAAATACGCATGCTAGATCAGCTAGGAAGAACTAGTAAAGGAAGTAGGGAAAACCCAGATTTGTGAGCCTTTTCCCAGCAACAGTGGTTTGGGGTCGCGATAGACTGGGAAATTACAAAGGATTCTTTGGAGTACGTTGTTGAAGTATAGGGCAGCCTCCCTTCTAATGTGAAGGGTGGGAGCTTTCTCTTCTCACACTCAGTGTGAGGAGCTTTAAGAAGACTCAAGAGGGGCCTGCATTATGGTACAGCAGGTAAAACCACCACCTGCGATGCTGGCGTTCCATATGGGCACTGGTTGGTCTCCTGGATCCTCCACTTCTGATCCATCTCTCTCCTAGTGGCCTAGGAAAGCAATAGAAGATGGCCCAAATGCTTGGGCCCCTGCCACCCATGTGGGAGACCTGGATGAAGTTCCTAGCTTTGGCCTGGCCTAGCCCTGGCCATTGCACCCATCTGTGGGAGTTTATCAGCAAATGGACAATTTCTCTCCCCGCCTCTCTCCGTCTATCTCTGTATCTCTAACTTCCAAATAAAATACATAAATCTTTTTTTAAGATTTATTTATTTATTTGAAAAGCAGAGTTACACACAGAGAACAGGAGAGGCAGAGAGAGAGAGAGAGAGAGAGAGAGAGTCAGTTTTCTATCTGCTGGTTTACTCCCTAAATGACTGCAACAGCCAGAGCTGAGCTGATCAGGATCCTCTTCCAGGTCTCCCACATGGGTGCAGGGGCCCAAGGACTTGGGCCATCTTCTACTGCTTTCCCAGCCCATAGTGGAAAGCTGGATTAGAAGTGGAGCATCTGATACTCAAACCAGTGTCCACATGGGATGCCGGCACTGCTACGCCACAGTGCTGGCCCAACACATAAATCTTTGAAAAAAGATTTTTCTCTGTCTCTCTCATTCTCTCTGTGACTCTTTCAAAATAAATAATAAATCTTTTTTGAGAAGACCCGGTAGAGCTTGATTTGCGTTCTCTGAAGTTTCAAGGGAAAAGAGGGACTGATATGTAACTCATGATGAGAAATTTAGTAAGAACAAGTCTGTGGTTAGAGCTTGCCTACCAGGCAGCAAAGGAGCGAGAGGTGATTAGGTTGGGAGTCAGGACGCTGTCCTCAGTGGCAGGACAGAGGTCAGGTTCCCACAGACAAGGTGTGGGCGCTCTGGAGAGCCAGCAGGGGTCGGTTTGAAACGAAAATAGGCCACATCCAAGGGACTTCCAGAGCCACTTCCATCCGAGCAGAAAGAACGTGGTAGGACGGGGGTTAAAGATGAGAAGTATTGTCCTTGTCTGTGAGGTGGGAATTCCACAGTGGGGGTTGCAGAGAACATTGTGGACGGCAGCAGTGTGACATCACGCTTGTAGTGAGCTCTGTTTATTCTTCCTGCAGCCACAATTGTCTTCATCTCGCTTGTGCCAACCGAGATCTTTGCTCCCTGTTTCCTCTCTCATCCAAACCCAGGGCAGTGCAGGGGTGCACATGGGGAGAATAAGTGGAGAAGACAAGTTGGGGAAATGGAGAAGTCCACTGAGATGTTGCTTTTCTTATGAACCAATTCTGCCAGTCCTGGTATCCAACAATTCAGCTCGTACCTGACACCCACTACCTGGAATTAACGTTAGAGTCCACAGGCTCCAGGCTCAGTCCCACAGGGTGGCCCTCACTTGTGATGCCAGCTGCATATTGTGGGTGTTTCCCAAGTTACCCACATTTCTGTCAGGCTGACTACAAATTCAAAGGTTGCACAGTTTCCTCTTTGGGTTTGATAACCTGTTAGAATGGCTTACAGAAGTTAAGAGAGGACTTACCGTTGTTACTGGTTTATTACAAAGGCTGCAACTCAGGAACAGCCAAATGGAAAAGGAGCACAAGGCAGGGTGTGGGGGCTGTGGTGCAAAGCTTTCATTCCCCTCCAAGTTCACCGTACTCCATTGGCCACTGGAGAGGGACTCAATCTCCAGTTGTTCTGGTCTTCCTGGAGACTGGGGGATGGGCAGCTGGTGATGCTGAACTTTCCATCTCTCTGGTCAAACTTGGTCTTTCTCATTGGAAGGTGCATGTTTTGAATAACTAAATCTGCCTTTCTGACTCTGGAAATCCCAGCAGTTCTAGGAGCTCTGCACCAGGGACTAGGCACAAAGACCCACAGTGTGTTTCCAACTATATCACACTCAGAGTACCTGCTTCCCCAGTATTGGGTTCCAGTAGAGGGAGCTCTTTTATTTTGAATAGAATTTGGAGTTTCAAGTATTTCATTAAAATGGACATATATAATTACTGAAGAGGCACTCTTCTAGTGTCCTGAATGACTGGAGCATGTTTTATTATTAAAAATAAACTATAAATGGGCGTGATATCACCCTTCGTGGAGTACCATTCCGACAGTGGAGAAGAGCTCCAGGGAGCAAATCTGTGTGAAAAAGAAAGAATGAAAGTGTACTTTGTTGTGCTCCTTGAAATAACTCTCTTTCAAAAGTAGGATGGGTCCTCAATAATTAATGGAAATGAGTTATGAGAAAACTATGCATGGATTTCAATTTTTGGCATCAATTATGTTTTAATCCTATTTTTGCACAAACTTTTTAAAATGCCTTGATACTGTTTGTTGGTGCAGGGTGTGCATGAGCACCCACTACCACCACACCACCACCTTTCTGTCATCTAGGATCTAAAGTTGAATTCATCTCTTACAATAAAGCTTTCCCAACTCACCTCAACCTATACAGCTGTACCTCTGAGAGTTTCTGTACTTCCTATTTTAAACCATATGATATAAAAATATGGGGATCAACAGCTTATTGGCCTAGTTGTGTGATGTGTTTTGGCCTCTCATCTTTAGGCCAGATCTCCCCTGGAAATCAGTGCATTTCACTTTTTGGTATTTCTTCTGTATCTTTGGCCAACTAGCACCAGTAGACCTAGGTTCTTGGAGCACTAACTTTTGGCTTTTTGATAATAAAATTTTATTCCGAGTTAGAAGAGTTTCCTAGGCAGCTGGAGGTATATTCTGAGATGAGCATCTACCAGGATTGCTTTAATTCTTGGCCAGGAAAGTGAATCTTTAGATTCCCACCTTATCTGTTAACACCCCCTTTTCACTTGCTCCTGGAGAGTGGAAGCAGTGTAGTTGGATTTTATTAATCTGTCCATCCAACATGGGGCTGGCAATGTGTTTGAATACTCAAAGTCCTTATGCATCTCAAAAAGCATTTCAGGGCTCCAGGAAGTATAATAGATCCATGGGTTCTTGATATTTCTGGAAATGGCAACAACAAAATAAATCATATGTGTGCATTGAATGCATGAAACTCTATCCTTCCCCTGCAGGTGATCCAGGCTTGCCATTCTTGTCCCAAGGCCATCGAAGTTGTAGTCAATGCCTACGAGCACATCAGGTGGAACATAAAGTGGAGAACAGCTATCCCTGATGATGACTTGGAGGTAAGCAGTCAATTCACTTCCTACAGTTTCCCCTTCAACGCATTATCGCCAGACTGTGTTAGAAGTGTGTAGTTGACAAAATTGGCTTTGCAATACTTCTGAAGCCTACCCAAATGCAATGAGACAAAGCGTTATAAATGTAGGTGTTACAGTTAGTAGTTCCATCACATGTGTGGCATTAAGGAATGTGGAACTGCATGGAATTTCTCCATGTAAGTGTAAGTTGAATAGGTACGTAAGATGGTAGTTTTACATTCTTTCCAATCACTTAGATGAACTAAATGATAATATTTGGGATTGCTCATATACCATTTTTACCAAAAAATTAAAGTGTTTTGTACAGATTATTTTACTCACTTTAAAATATCTTGAAGTGATTCTTAAGCAGGAAACGTAAGCACACTGGGATGGGACATATGGAAAATCCTCAGTAGGACCCACAAGCTATTATCATTGTTAGACTCAGGGACTTTGCCACCTCCATAAACTCATCCTCACCAGAGAGTATCCTTTTCTTGGCTTTAGAAGCCTAACTCTGTCTCCAGCATGTGGAGAAGTATCAGGCACCAAATGCAAAGTTCCCTTGATTTGGAGGCTGATGGCTTAGATGTGCAATCTTATTCTGCTACTTATAAGCTCTTTACCTTGAAAAGTTATTCAACTTGCCCAGGATTCATTAATCCTTCATTATTTTTACATATCTGAATATATGGGTCACATCAGACACACGAAGGGCATTTAATTTAATAGCATTTACATTAATTTAAAATTGCTAGCATGATCTATACTGGCCCAGGAAGTTTATACAAGTCTGTCTTAACTCATTGCCTGCGTTCTGATTTGTATTTTATTGTTTGCTTGTCTCTCTCCTCTCTTTTTATATATATATATACTTTTTCAATGCCCCTGCCCAGCCTCAATTTAACGTTTGAATCACCATTGGAGAAGGTGGGAAGCACTGTTATGTGTAAAGTAGGGACTCAAGGAATCATTGTGGTGCTACTCTAACTGGAGCCTTCTCTCTTCCTTTGCAGAAATACTGGGATTTCTACCACTCTCTCTTTACTGTTTGCTGCAACTCTCCAAGGACACTCATGCACTTGTCGCGGTGTGCTATTCGAAAAGCTTTGAACAGCAGATGCCACAAAGCAATTCCTTTGCTTTCTCTCCCATTGTCATTGAAAAAGTATTTGCTTTTAGAGCCAGAAGGAATCATTTATTAAGGCTTATGAGACAGCAGTTCCCAGTCTTAGATCTTTAAGTGGACTTGTTGGTTAGACTCAGTTTGCTTAAATAAAATGGTACTTAGGTTGATTATAACAGGTCAGGGATTTGAAAACACTTTACAAACACTCTGTCATTAATCCTAGGGTATCATGGTGAGGGGGGATAAGAAGTAAAGTTAAGGAATTTTCAAAGACAAGAAGCATTCAGAACGTACTGATGTAACAGTAATATCTCATGCATAGCGCTCTTACTAGATGCATGATATGTTTTGTGAAGCTTTTCGTATGTTATCTAAAATGGGACCCAGGTTTTCTTAAAACCAATCTCAATCTCTACCTTACCACTATTAAGTTTACATTACCATTTAATTTTCAATATAGCAAGTTTGTGATTAGCCTCTTAAGCTTAGTGTCTTTTCCCCATTACTACTTAGCAGCAATTATAGTCGCTCCCCAAACCAAGCTTCGCAGGTTATTATAGTGAAGAAAGCACATGAGCATAGTCAAAGACAGGGAGATCTTGGAGTGAAAAGATTTAGAAACGAGTAAGAAAGACCAGTCCATTTACTGGTCAAGAAGGAACATTTCAGCACACACTCATTGAGCCAGAGGCTAGAGATGCAAAGATGAGTCAGTCCCATGGGTGACCTTTGAGCAGAGGATCCGAACATACAAGCAGGTGACTGCAGTATAAAAAACGGGGCAAGAGTACAGGTGCCATTTTTAGTGCTTACCTTTTGAAGTTGTGTTTCTGGCATGAAGCGTGTGTGTGGCTTTTTAAAGCATGAAGATAAAGAATGAGGGGATTGTGGAACGTAGAGGGATCTCCTGCCATGCTAGATATTGTAGCTATTGTGTTAGTGTAGCTTCCTTGTTGGTGCTTTGCCAAACTCTCTGAGATAAATATTGCATATCCCATGGTTCCAATGTGTGTGTGTTGTGTTTGTGTGTGTGTGTGACAAGGAAGGGAAGGAACATTTGTGAAAGAAAGTGTGCGAAGGGAAAGACCTTGTTGATGACTTTGGCCTTTTCATGTGACAGACTGATGTTACAGAGTGCAAAGTTAAAGAGCACTTTGTTAGTGATGGCTGGCTACAGAAAGCAAATCGGAAGACTTTTTGGCAGTGGTAAAACTGGAGCAAGTTGGAAAAATAAGTATGTAATCAGGCTTGCTGGTTTGATGTTTGCAAAAAGAAAAATGTAGATAATTAGCCTCTCTCGGCCTCATGGCTTAGGAGGCCAAGTTTGTTTTCCTTTTTTGTTCTCGTTAATCCCTTTAGAAACGCTTATTGTTTTTTTAGCATCACTTTTTAGAAGTTAAAGCAGAAGTAATTAGTGCAAGCAAATCTGTCAGTTGTGAGCAGGTTTCTTTTATTTGTGTGGTTCTCCACCTTAGCTAACTTGAGAGTTGAATAGAGACAATGTTGAATTATCTACCAGGCCACCACTAGGTTGTGCTTCTGTGCCAGAATTCTCTTATGCCCAGGTCTGGATAGGAAAAACCACAGGTGGATACAATAATCTCTCTGAAATACTAGTTTCACTCATATTTATGTGTGTAGGGGGGTACTTTGTACTACAATATCTCTATCATAGAACAGAATGCTGAATTTGTATCACTGTTCATACAAAACATGCCCCCCCACACACAAAAAAATGCTGGCACCAAGTGGTGCTGGTACACACCCACACATCCTGGGGCATGTGGAGAGCTGTAAGGCACCCTGCATCGTCAGGAGGTTCTGAGAAGAAAGTCTGCTGCATTGACTTGGGACGAATAAAACTGGTGTTGAGGACAAATGGAGACCATGTTGCTTGGCTTGCTTGTGCTAAACCATTTGTGTTCATCTAGCATATAATACATGGCTACTTGCTTGGAATTGTTTCCTTGTGGATTTAAAGTAATTTTTCCTTCATTTTGAACTTTAGAAAACTTAAATAAAGCTCTTCTGATTCCTTTCATCTTTGTGAGTTGTTTGTTTACCAACAAAACACTTTGTTCCTAAGCCAACTTTGGCTCTTCAGCGGAAGCCCTGAAGAACTGTATATTTCCTTGCTTTTTTCCACGTTTAGAAAGAAGAAGAGGACAAGAAATTGTGCTGTAAATAAGTAACTTCTTCAAAAAGAAGGAGAGGATCAATGTGACTCAAACACAAATGAAACGCAGGCTCTTGCTCTAGGAACAGGTGTTTTAATAACAAAGACGCTGTACTGAATCGTCCTCTTCCACTTCTCACCATCGCTGCCATCCTGGGGTTTTTCATTTGCCCTCATTCTCACCATGCACTGAAGCCTGGTCAGAGCAAGAGGAGATTAGATCCTCATGATGCCTTTGTTACTTTCTGTAAATAGACGCCTAATGTCCTAAAGAAAAAATAATCTCTCTTCTGTAAGTTATGTGAGAAGCGGCATCTTTGACATAAAGGAAAGACCACCTGTTCAGTTTTCTCTCTGCTTTACAGAACCTAAACATGTTTGTGTTCTATTCTTTAATAACCTAGTGTTACATCTCTACATTGTTCTTCCTTTCTGTTCTGATAAAAACATGGTTGTCAAAAGATGATTGTAGGGATAACAAAACTAAAAACACCCCATTTGCACTGGGTCATCAATGTTGGGAAAGGCAGCTGTTATAGTACTTATCTGCTTTTAAAGAACTTGGTAAGTTCTAAGTTGGTGCACTTCGAAAACTTTTAAGAAACATTGCTGCTATTCACTTGTTTTCTTGGAGATGCAGACACCATTGCCAGCATCTGGAAGGAATTCCTCATCATTTTCTTTAAGGGACAAGCAGATGCATTGGAGTTAGCTGTTCAGAGCCTGATTGTCTGGATTCATAGCCTGGCCTTTTCCTATTTTTGGCCCATAATCTAGGGGAAATAACAAAGCTGCTCGTTCCTCAGTTTCTTCAAGTGTAATGGAATATTTGCAGGATTGTTTTAGAGCTAAATTGTTACTGCATTAAAGCACATAGAGGAAAGCATGCCACTCAGTAAGCATTTTGTTGGCATTACCGTTATTACTGTTAAAATCACTATAATCTAGGAGTAGGTTGTACCAGTAGTGCAATGCACCCTTAGAGTGAAGCTGTAGCTGCAGGGGATACGTGTACGTTTCTGTTCACTCGGAGGACTACTGGGTGAGCTCCCATCACATGCCAGGCACTTTGAGTCAAATGAGGAACAAAACAGGTTCCTGACTTTCTCGGATTTTTTTGAAGTAGGAAGTAGGAATAGAAATAATATTGATATGGAGGATTAGCATGCAAACACATCAATTGATTTTTGAAACTTGGCTTTTTCGAAAGTGGGGTGATTAAGGATCCAGTGCCTCCCTTTACTATCTCATGATGGCTCCAAGTTCACTTGCAAATTGACCTCCTTGGACAGGGAACATTTCTCAGCTATTCCCATGTCAGTTAGGGAAAGGGTAGGAGGAAATTCACTTTGTAGCAGGAGCAGTGTAGATTAGCACTGAGAATACTAACTGAGGGTTATTGCAATCAGAATGCATAAACAGGGAGAGTTGGAGAATATCATCCACTTACTCTTGTTGTTTGCAAGAATTGATTCAGATCTGTTACATGTGAACTTCTATGCTCAAAGTGAAAGGAAGTCGAGGGAGAGTTGTCACTAAGTCATTGCAAGATTCACTTTTAGGGCTCAATCTTTTTGTTTTTACTAAGAAGTAAATGTCTCTTTTGATTAGATACCATCTAACTGAGTTATTTTCCCATCAGCCTGACATAAAATAGTTGCTTAGAAGAGATTTTTAAAAACTATATTTCAGTACTAAATCGCCCTATTCATGTTTGGTCACACCTGCCACCACTGAGAAGCAATGCATGAAATCAGGAAAAACATCCTCCAAAGAGCAGTTGCTTTGCCGCCCTCTCCCCTCTCTCTTTTCTAAAGAAACACTAAGTGGATTAGGTAAGCTTAAATTTCTTTACTAATTAGTTTTCTCAGATAGAGGCATGCCTCAATGATATTGGATAACAACTATTCAAATATATGCTAATCCATTCAAGGATATAAAAGAGTGATGCCACCTTGTATTTCCTGACTTGGAGACACCCTCGGATTAGTTTTTCATGCTGTCAGGCAGGGAGAGATGATAGAACGGAAGCAGCACACAGGGGCATGCCAGAAAACCTTAGGTACAGAAGGGAACTGGGGGGTGGGTGGGTTTTCTAAAGTCCAGGAACCTAGCTACTGTCTGCTCAGAGCCACAGGAAAGAAATGCACCCCTGCTTTGTTCCAGTATTTGATTGACAAGTGGTGTGAACCAATGGAAATGACAATCAATTTGATTTAGGAAGCAAGGCATACATTCTGGACTCGTCTCTCTTAGCCCTGTTCTAGATCCTGGCGAGATGACTTCTGTGTAGTGCATCAACTGGACCCCGTGTCTTGGCTTCCTAATGGCATCAATGGGAAAACCAGTGGGAGAGTGGGGGCCCTTCCTGGTACCCTCTCAGTTGGAGGAAGCAGAATCCCTGCACCAAAGCAACACCTCCGAAGAAGGGCTCCTCTACTCAGTTGCTCTTCTCCTTGGCTTATAGTAGCTGCTCCCTTGTTCCTTCAGACCCAGGGAAGCCAAAACTTCCCTTTTAGTTGCCTTTGTCCCTGTTCTGAGTGTTTCATCTCTCCTGGCTGGTCTCCTATATGCTACCTACACTCCCCAAAATGATCTCTGATTAGATTATCTCCAGCTCTCCCTATTTCCTGTGTTTTCCTCTTCTTCTAGGGATCTTGACAGATACACAAATCCATGTAGTACCTTGACAAGTCAGTGGGAACCCCGAAGTATTCTGGTTGGCTAATGCTGTTGAGGGTCGTGCAGACAGAGGTCACTGTGGTGTAGGAAAGGTCACAAGTGAGCAGATAGACTTGATCATGACCTGGGGGATGGCTCAAGTTGGGGTCACAGTCTCCATGGGAGGAGGGCAAGGGAGGGAATGCATTTAAGATCATTGGTGGCCATGATGAATGGTTGACCTGGGATGGACACGGAGTACTCATCACCACCAATTAGACAACCATGGCAGAAGCAGAAGATGAACATTTGTTTCAAGACAGAGTGGAAGCACTGAATGGGACTATTTATGCATTGTCTGGAATCTGGCGAAACACCACAAGGAAACAATGGTTGGTATTATTATCATCAGAATTAACAGGTAACATGTATCATTCTTCGGAGCATCTTCCTGGTGCTCTGTAAAAAAAAAAAAAAAGATAATTGCCTTTGTAAGCACCCTAAATTCTTCCATGCCCCTCCAAATCTGAAGCCTTAGATATGAAAAAACTGTAAACATGACATTAATAAACTCTTCTTCTTTTGTAAAACATTCCTCTCATGTGGAAGGATTCATTCTTGAGTGTGTAAAAGAGATAAAAGAGATCTTAACTTTCCAATTTTTTAATATCAAAATTAAAAAGAATTTTAAAATTGCATTATACAGAGAGAGAGAGAGAGAGAGAGAGAGAGAGAGTATTCCTTCCAAGATATCACAGGAGGGAACAAAAACAACATTTGGAGTTTTAGGCCTGCATATAGTTCTTGACATTGCAAGTTCACGTGATGAACTGTTGACAAACGCACTGATACAATCACCATCCACAGGCCTCTGGGCTGGAACTCCCTGTGCTGCTGGAGCCGGGACTAAGAAGGGACTCTTAGGTGGTTCGCTGAGGAAAGTGTAGGCATCAGTAGGTTCTAACTAAAGCGAACCCTGGCTCATCTAGAATGAGGACACAGAAACTGCAAAATGTTTATTCCATGTGTCAGCACTGCCCTGTGGCCCAGGAAAAATAAGGACTTTGGAATTCAGTGACTTGAGTTTTAATCTTGATTATGGTATTAATATCAGTGTGTACTTGTGCCAGTTTCTTAACTGGATGATTGATTTTTTATTGGATAATAGTGATTAAGTACCTGTCATATGGGACTCTTGGGGGGATAATGCAGAATGATGCGTGTGAAGTATCTAACACAGCACCATGGATGCAGGTGAGCCCAGTGAGTGCTCAGGTGGCATGTGCTTTGCCTTGTGAGGGGGTCGTGTGGACTAAGCTGAGACATGGCAACATTTCTGGGATACTTATGTGCACAGGCCAAAGACTCAACTTTTGTGTTTTAGAGATCTATTTATTTGAAAGAGTGGCAAGGACAGAGGTAGAGGAGGTAGAGAGAGAACCATCTTCTGGTTCACTCCCCAAATGCCCACAACAGCCAAGGCTGAAGCCAGGAGCCAGGAGCTCCATATTGGTTTCTCATGTGGGTGGCAGGGATCCAAGTACCTAGGCCATCAACTTCTGCCTCCCGGGTGCATTAACGGGAAGCTGAATCAGAAGTGGAGCTGTTTTCTGGACTCTAGACATCACAAGCACTGACTGAATCCATTGCACCCCAACGTTTACCCTCAACTTTTATTTTCATTACATTTTCAGTGCAACGATTCTCCTGTTCCAAGCCACCTTGTTGGTGATTCTCTGTGGCAACAGATCCTGAAGGAGGCACTGCAGGGGAAGCTTCTCCCTGCCTGACCCAGAGCTGTGCAAGTAGTGGCAGTGCTGTTTTTTTTTTTTTTTTACAGGCAGAGTGGACAGTGAGAGAAAGAGACAGAGAGGAAGTTGGTTCATCCCGCAGTGGCCACTGCACCCGGTGCACCATGCTGATCCAAAGCCAGGAGCCAGGTACTTCTTCCTGGTCTTCGATGCGGGTGCAGGCGCCCAAGCACTTGGGCCATCCTCCACTATACTCCCAGGCCACAGCAGAGAGCGGGACTGGAAGAGGAGCAACTGGGACAGAATCCGGTCCCCTGACCCAGACTAGAACTACCCGGTGTGCCGGTGCCGCAGGCGGAGGATTAGCCTAGTGAGCCGCGGCGTCGGCCCGCAGTGCTTATTTCTGAAACACAGCATGAAGAGCATTCAACCCGAAAGCTCAGAGCAGGTGGACAGGCGTAGTGCCTTTCTCGGATTCCCAGGTTAAAGTTCCAAACAAATCTGTTCTATTCACTGGAAAGAGATTTTAAAATCCTGCTTCTGTCTTGCAGTTACATACTCTAGAAATAAAACAACATTGCAGTTGAGTTCTGTGTCGCATGGAAGTGGACAATTTCCTTCATTTAACTTCCTTCATGTTCTTCCTCCGTTTATTTCCCCCTCTCCTGGTGTCTCTTTCTGTCCTCCTTTCTGTTTTATGCCACCCCTGTGTGTGTTTTATCTTCACCTGGCTGGGCTCTCTGTGAGTAGTGTCAAGGCCACGTTAGGATATTCTTGGGGACTGCTGACAGCGGATGGAACCAATGGCTTCTGCAAAATATTTGGATGCATTTAGTTTACATTTGAATTATACAGAAACTGAGGAATTTTTATCAAATTCCTTAAGTCTTTGTTCCTAGTCCAAAAGTCACAACTCTGAAAAAGTTTCTTCCATTCTAGCCATAGATTACAGGCAAGAGATCAGCACCAAGTTAGAAGCAAAACCGCCTCCAAAATGAGGCATGTGGTGTTTTTGCCTGGCCCTGGCAATGCAGGGCAAGAGACCTGGTCATCTGTTCTGGGTTGCAGGTACCCCACAGCTGCTGCCTGGAGTCAGCCGACTTCACAGCTAGTGTCAGTGAAGGGCTTTCTATTGGGAAACCACAAAATAATGATTTCTTGTGATAATGCAGCAGAAGTGTTGACTGTGCAGACCGGCAGAGTCAGATCCAACCAAAGTCAGATTCCTCTCTGCCACTCAGCCTCTCCAAGGCTGTTTCCATCTTTCTACCAAGGAGCAATAATTGTCTCACTGCAGAGTTGATTGCAGAATAAGTAATTTCTCAAGCATGCTTGCTACCACAGCAGGTACATGATTAACTTTTAATAACTTATAAGTGTTATTATAGTCCCACTCTGCTTGAGTTTCTCAGCTGATCCACTGATTTTTGTAAGTGACTGACTTGGGGCCCCCACACCTGCCAGAGAAGGTTAGATGTGACCATTAAGTAGCAAACAAGGTACCCGTGACATCTACTCAAGTTCAATGCAATTCTATCCATCTGTGTTACAGCCCGCCAGAGGAAGTCATTCCAGTTGTAGACAGTGAACACTGCTACATAAACCAATAAAGGCCCACTCTCCATGGCAGGTGTTCATATTCAAGTTGTTTTTCAATAATCCTAAACATTTTTTCCTGTGTTGGAACGGGGCTAACTGACTCTCTGACATATGCTGCCTCTACATAGAGTTTACTTTTCTTATTTAAATATTATGTAGTGCTTAAATTTGAGCATTTGTGGGGTGGATAAGAGTATTCTTGCCATTTTCAGACCTGTGGCAGGCAATGCTGTTCCCTGCAGCTGAGCCTAGACTCAGCCTTGGACGACTCCTCAACATGGTGTTTAGGCTGCCAACCTCCCATTGCTTGGTTGTGATAAGTGAGGTGAAATAAGTCTGTTACCCACACTGTCTCATGGTCATGCATTACAAAAATAAAAAGCTAGGAGAAATTAAAAGACACGTGATGGGGGCTGGCACTGTGGCGCAGCGGGTTAACGTCCTGGCCTGAAGCACTGGCATCCCATATGGGCACTGGTTCAAGTCCCAGCTGCTCCACTTCCAATCCAGCTCTCTGCTATGACCCAGGAAGCAGTGGAAGATGGCCCAAGTCCTTGGGCCCCTGCACTCACGTGGGAGACCCAGAAGAATCTCTGGCTCCTGGCTTCGGATAGGCACAGCTCTGGCCCTTGCGGTCAATTGGGGAGTGAACCAGTAGATGAAGGCCTGTCTGTCTCTCTCTCTGCCTCTCCTCTGTATGTGTAACTCTGACTTTCAAATAAATAAATAAATCTTTAAAAAAAAAAAAGGCAGGTGATGATCACTGGCAAGAAATTTTTTTTGTGTATTTGTCTTGGTTTTGATCAGGAGAAGCATATAATGTTGACATTTATTCAACAAATATTTGTTGAGTTGGACCATGTACCTGCTGGGGATTCAGAGGTGAAAAACAGCAGTGAAATCCTAGCCTTCCTGGAGCATTGAGTTCAGGAATTCTTACCCTGAGATACACATTAGGCCACCCGGATGCTGGATGCTGTAAAAAATATCAGTAGCTACTTCCCACTTCCCCCATTAAAAGCTTCTGGCTTCAAACTGGCCCAGCCCTGGCTGCGGCAACCATCTGGGGAGTAAGGCAGTGGATGGAAGAATTCCCTCTGTCTCTCCCTCTCTCTCTCTGCCTCTCAAGTAAAATAAACAAAAACTTAAAAAAATTCTCTCTCATATTAAAAATTTTTTATTATTGAGGAATTTTTTTTGTAAATGTGTACAGTCTAAAGTCTGTGGTCATGTACAGTAATGAACTTGAGCTTCACTTTCACTCACCTTCCACCTCTCACCTAGAGCAACTTCTAGTCCTGCAAGCTGTGTTTATCCAAAGCACCCTTGGGAAGACTGTGTGCTCAGTGATGACAGGGAAAAGACCATCTTAAGAACTCTGTGTCAGGAGTGGTTAGACAGAGAGGGGGCTGGATCAGAAGATGGAGAAAGTTCTACAGTAGGGCCTGTCTTTATGGACCTGATTCAATAGAACAGGTCTGCAATGAGGATCTCTATGGGTCTGTCCCCAAGGTACTCTACACAATTGTGGCTGCAAGTTGCTGTTGGACACCAAGACAGGTGGACCTAGGTTACCTGTCCAGAGGGCATGGGGCTTACTGTCATGCTTTTGTATTTACTGGAAACCCCAGGAGACCCCTCCGGGCTTCTCAGGCCAGACTGACTAATGCCTCCTCCTGCTAAGATTTCAGTTTCCTGACAAGGGAGTGAGAGGAGTGAGAGGAACAGGGAGTGAGTCAGTGCCTCCACGCTGGCAGCACTAGCACTGGTGTTAATCTGTGTTATCTTAGCTCCCACGGGGTGAGCAATCATGCCTGGCCAGACAATCTCACAGGAGGTGGAGGGGAACAGGTACAAGTTTCCAAAGGAGGCTTTTGTTACCAAAATAGGTGATTAGCTGGAGTCCATTCTATATTTGCTCCTTGTAACTGAATATTTTTTGGAAACACCAGCAAAGTGCCCAGCCTGGCCCCGGGGACTCATCCAACTTCTGAAGACTTGCACAGCAGGTCTGATGCCACAGACTTCCTCCCGACACTCCAGCAAGGCAATGTGAGACACAGAGTGACACAGCCAGGCCCTGCCTACTGCGCTGCACACACAAACATG